CCCCCCCCCCTCTTTCTCTCTCTCTTTCTCTTACTCTCTTACTCTCTCTCGATGAGCGAGTGAGTGCAATGTTTGTTTCCAACGCCACCTGTTTCGGCACCCCGGCGTTTCGTCTCTCTTTGCAATCCAGTTTTGAAACTCGACCCCAATAGGGACGTTCATGTATACACCGTCGATCACGGCGGTAGGGGGGTTTTGTAGGCGGTGCTGTGCTGTCTCCCGTGACGGGATGCTGAACTCCTCCTTCTCCCGTTTGTGCTCTTCCTCACTTACTGGCGCGTTGGCTTGTCCAAGTAGTACAAGCCGAAGGTACTTGATCAGCGTGACAATTGCGTTGGTTGTCTTCATGCACACTCTTGCCGATATTACTAATGTTACTGAGTGCTAGACCAGTTTTTCACACGGCGACCACTTGAGGGTGAGGAGAAGGGAAGGTGGACATGACCTACACTTGCTGTAGTGTGGAGACGCTGTTTCCTTGAAAAAAAAATGGCCTCGGGACTCTCTGTGACGTGCGCAATGCTGCCACGCAACCACCACTCAAAAGCTGTTGCCTGTCCCTCAAACTCCCGCTGTTGTCTCAACATACCCTAATCTGCCGGGCTGTATCGCTTCGAACCCCCCGTACCTTCAGGGGTGAACGCCGGCAAAGGAGGAAAGGGTGGAGGCGGGACCCACGGTCCCCTGGTGGTCGGATTCGATCCGATCGGTGACCTCGTGTCGGAGTTACGCCGCCGCTTCGGCCACCTGGCAGTGTTCTTCTCGCCCGGCTCGGCCGGATCATCTGGCATCATTGGCCTCGTTTGGCGGCCGGCCGCTTTCGTCCCTCGGCCCATCAACGTCAACCGCTCGCAGCACATGATGGTGGTTGAGGGCGAGGGGTCGCGCGGGGGGGGTGATGTGGCGACGATGAGTGTGCTTAACGTTGTGGAGGTGTTGTCGGAGATGAAGGTTCTCGGGGGGGACATGATCGAGGCCGTGCACGTCTCGTGAGCGGAAGCTAGTTTTGATTCTTGATGGCGTTATACGTATTGTAACGCGTTGTTTTTTGTTGTTTTCGCGTTTTGTGTAATACAAAAGGCGGAGGAGTGAAGCACTGCAACGCAGTATGAGATAGCCAGCCATCCATGTGTTTTGGTAGATTGGAGTGCTGAAATGTTTGTTGATTTCCGTGTTTCGGTACAATCATTGCCTACCGCATGTGCCTGTGTCTGTGGTGCGCTTTTGAGCGCGCGCGCGAGAGAGAGAGAGAGAGAGGGAGAGCTTTTTCAGTTTTGATAAGAATCAACACGTTTGACTGGAAGTAACCAACAATCAACCCAGAGCGAGGCGAGACTTCCCATGCATGATGACTGCACGGCGAAAGACGACAGTTGTTGGACAGCGTTGGTGCGGACTGATAGGTTGCATCAAATCAAGGCTACGGCTCTTTTTTGTGGACGCTTCTTCCGAGAGAGATGAAGGTTCGCTCGAAAAATCGAGTCGGTGAAAGCTTTCGAGAATATGCGCCCTCTGCGGGGTCGTTTTGTGTTGCACGTTAGTCCCGGTTGACGTCTTATCCCACGCTTGTGTCGATCAAAAGACGTCGCGTCACACCGTTGGCCGGGAAATTGAAAGTATTACAGTAGAGGTCCCTGTTTAGTGCCGGTTGAATAGTGCCAGTTGCCGGTACAGTGCCGGTGTTTTCGGCTCGCACACACTGGAATACCAAGTCGTTCTGTACTTTGAATAGTGTCGGTGCCCGGTGTAGTGCCGGTTAAATTTTTGCGCACACCCCGGCACTAAACAGGGGCCTCGACTGTACTGTGATTTTTGTCGGTGGTTGAATCGCGCTCACCGAGTCACTCCCTGTGTTCGGAAATATTAGTATCCAAGAGCAACGAGTGCATTCCGCCAAGGAGGGAATGGGGGAATGGGGACAGAAATAGTATCGTGTGTGTACCCTCGTGATACACGGGCATGTCGTGGACTTTTCTCTACAGCAACTCCATGAGCTGATAGTGCTTCACCGGGCACGAACGATATGGCATCTGGCATCATCTTAACTCTGTGCAGGTAAAAACGTTACTTTGCGTTGCTACATTTTTACTGTAGGTCGCGTCCTTTCCTGATTCATCCGGAAAAAAAGATTTAATTGAATACATGAAATTGACTGTGCCACGCGGCACTGGCCGCTTTCGACGTGCTCCGCATTCAGCTGAATCGGACACAACACACACCCTGTTTGACCGTGCCAAAGCACGTGTATTCCCTCTCCTCTATACACTTCCATCGTAAACCCCGGTGATGTGGACGGGAATGCAAAATAGATACAAACATCGAACACCCGACATACAACCATGGTACGACCCCTACCCACCCTCAATACGTTCCAACCTCAATCTCGCAAGTCCAATGTCGAGGTAACGAAGACCCTAAAAAAGCAACTTACGACAAGCACAAGTGCTATTTACATACCGTACCGTGGCAGGCTTTTGTATCTCGGGAAAACGCCTCCTCAAACTACAAAAGATCCCGCAATAATCGAAAATATGAGTGTGGCCCGAAGGCTGAACCGAGTCAAATTCGGCGCCGTAGAGAAATTGTCATCCCGGAAACACGTGGCGCCATGGTGGCCACACCGTGCGCTCAGCGGCACCTGGAAAGAGTCGGATGCCGCCTACAAAAAAACGAAAAAAATACAGGGTAACAGGGTGCAACATTCCTACTGCAAGGGATTCTCGCTTCGAATGCTTTCTAAAAATGTATTACATACTGGACAGACACTCTTACGACGTACGTGAGGACGTTGGCAAAGGACAACACTAGCCGAACGGGTGGGAGCATCCTGCTCAGCTCAAACGCTTGGATGGATGCGTGCGGCACAGCACCCCGCCTAGGTAAAGGGCGGCTAGCCGACACAGTCTAACCACAGGTCGTATAGTCAACTAACAGTGCTGCGCACTAATCCGTCCAAGGAAATGGCGGCAAGACGAGAAACATCACGAACATGAGCAGAGTCAAACCGAGAGTTCAGCGCAACCACATTCGCCGCGAAACTATGACAACAGCCAGGCCAGGATTTACAGGAGAACCAAGCGAGCCTCTTCACTCCGTGTTGAGGTCCGCCAGCACTCGGAAATGATTCTCCAAGGACGGCTGCTCGTTCTCAAAATACACCAGACGCTTCACGTCACATGCCGCTCCTCCGACACGGCTACCCCCTCCTTTCGAGCCCTCCCCCCCAAACCCTTCCGAATCTGTCGGCACCACCCCGGCGGCGAGACCATCACCTCCCCCGCGGGCGGCACCGTCCGTCGAGAACACCTCCACCTCACCGCCGTCTCCCCCTCCGCTCATCCTGCCGGTCGTCGTCGAGCTCTTGGTTGCGAACGCGGACCCTTCTTCCCGTGCACGAAGGGCCCTTCGGAAGCCCTCGACGGAAGCCAAGAAAGCCGTCGCCTCGGAAGCGAGCCAGGGGCGGTACTGGCTCGACCACTGGTAAGGCGTCCCGTGCACGCGGATGGAGAGGTTCGTGAACGCGGCGAGCCTCGCCAGGGAGCGCAAGTTGGTCGGGAACGCCCCCGCCACCGCAGCGTTAGCCCCGTCGACCCAGTGGACGGCGGCGACTCGGCCGAACAGCCGGTTCGCCGCACCACTGCCGCCGTCATCGTCCCGCCTGCGTTCGCAAACGACGTCGCCCCCACGCAGGGTTCCAACGCCAACGCACGTGGTGTTGCCCCCGCGGCTGTCTCCTTGTTCGCCTGGAGGCGTGGACCCGGAAATGCTGGTAGACCGGTTGCGTCTCCGGCGGCGTTTTTCACCTCTCCACTTGAGCGGTCCGTCGCAGCAGCCCCCCCCCCGAGACGCTTCTTCTGCTGTCGACGGCGGGGTGGTGTGTATTCTCCGGGGGGGAGGGCCGTAGCTGCTGCTGCTGCTGCTGCTGCTGCTGCTGCTGCTGCTGCTGCTTTCCTTCTCTTTGTCGAGATCGTCATCATTTGGAGCTTCGTCGGTGCTCGACGCCGACGGCAGGCTGGTAGAAGAGATCGTCCTTGTCTTGAGGCGCGACATGCCGAACGCGCTCCACAGCCGGGACCACAGCGAACCGGTCTTGTCCTGGCAGAGAAAGGTGATATCAACGAACGAAGGGACCAGAGAATGTCACCAGACAAACAAAAGCGACTAATGGAGTCGGGGGGGGGGGGGGGGGGGGGGGGGGGGGGGGGGGGGGGGGGGGGGGGGGGGGGGGGTTGCATGGGAGGGCTTGAAGACGGCCGCACACACGAAGGCCTGCATGAGGAACGACACAACACTCACACTTTGGCTGAGGACGTCAAGGGGTCGACGCCAGTTGTGATAACATTATGGAGGTGTGTGACGCACCGGACCACTACTGTAGCAGTTGGGTGTCGAACGTAGGTAGCTTGTACATATCTTGATTAGCAAGCTCACCGGACTGACCAAGCAGATGCCCGGGCTACCTCCTCAACAAAGTTCTACTGGAGTTTCAACACATCAAGAATCTACACGTGGATCCTGGGCGATTCGAATGAGTATGACATGCATGCGTGGGACAGCAGATTTACCCGCCCAAGGAGGTTATCCAAATCCTGGTACACAAGACTACGATTTCAACACAAATGAGGTGAGGATGACACGAATGAATACTTCGAAACAGACAGCACATACACTACATCTGATAGGTCGGCTAGATACCCAGAAGCCCATCCATCCCTCAGCTGAATGTCGGCATAAACGCCGTTCCACCGCGCTCTCTATAGATGTGGGTACCTGATGCGGTTTATATCCGTCTTGGACCCCGTCGTGAAGAGTACCGTTACTCGCGCCCCCCGCGTCCTCCCGCCTCTCTTGGTCACGGAAGCCCTCCCACCCCATTGGCCAGTTGCCCGAAGCCGTCGTCGTAGCAATGTCACCATCGTCTGCTGGGCTCGGAGGGTTGGTCAGATCCCCCTCGTTGCATGCCAAGCGTTCACCACTGCCTCCACCGCAGCTGCTACTGCACCGGCGGCCGTTGCTCATGGAGACGCGGGATCGCTTGCGGTTGCCGGCCAACTTAATGCCGTCGCCGTCTACGTCGCTGCGCGTGCTGCTGTACGTCTTTGGCAGCGCCGGTTCTGCTGCTGCCGGGGGCGGCGAGCACGCGAGCTCCGTAACAAGTTGGTTGAGAACAACCACACCTTTGCTGAAGCCCACCAGCGTGAGGGGGAGGGAAATGTTGGGCCTGTGAGAGGTGGTGACGCCGCATCTGTCGTCCTCTTGATGCACCGCGTCTGCGGCGGCGCCGAGAAGAGCCTCAAGATGCTCACACGCCGAACCGTCTGGGAGGTCTGGCGTCGAAAGTCAGAGGCGTCAAAGGAACAACAACACCCGAAATAAGAGCGGGACAGCAGTGGCAATTCCGAGGTTCAAATTGGATAAGTTTGAATGTGGATGCACCGTGCAAAATAACTCGAAAAAAATGTTCTAGCTGAAGTAGATGAAGAGTCAATCACACACGGACAGCTACGGAAAAGTGTGCACGGGTGGGCATCGGCATCGACCTCCGGGCACCACCTTGCAGGGACAACAGTCAGAGGCATGTCATGCGGATACGCGTGTGCCACGCACGTGCTACCAAATTACACGACCTGCACCCAGGTGGAGCAAAGGGCAAGGAGCGCGGAATACACTCTGTTTCATAGTACAGGCAGTCTACCGTTAACACAGCAGCAGTATCCTAAAAAAACTTACACTCGAGGACAGCGCCACCCGTAGCCCAGTCCGTTTTAGCGAAGTTGTCGTAGGACGCCAGGGCGCCGTGTACGTGGGTCTTTGGCAACACCACCCACACCGCGTGCCCGGGAAACCTTCGTGCCAACGTCCGGGCTGTGCTCTCCACACAGTAGTCCGAAAATTCCTCGTGACCTACGGATATCCTGCCGTCAACGAGCATGAACAGCATGGCGAAGGGCATAGAGACAGACAGGCATGCGTCGGTATGCTACAACAAGAGAGGTTGCGACCGAATCAAATGAAGACACTCGGCCATGGCACATAAACCCTGAATGTCAGTCAGCACGTGGGGAGCTGAGAGCGAACAGTTGGGCTGATGCTTGTCTCTTCCCTTTCTCCAGAACAAGGTTTCACGCTACAGCACATTTCGACACATGAACGAACAGCTGTCGTAGTGGGGGACAAGCCCGTGCGCTGGCTTTGCATGGGGGACGGGTGCCACCACTCACCACTTGCGAAGTCGGCGCTATGAATACGATGTCCGACACGATCCGACCAAGACAAAGGAAAAAAGGTGAGTGCAGAATTAACTTCAAACACTACAGTCGTTCCCGCTTTAAAGACACCATGTTGAAAGACACTCTCCGCTTTAAGGACACAAAAAATCTCATAAACATGGTGCCCCACAGATGTGAAAAAGTAGGGGGGGTAGGATTTTCCACCATTCGACCCCCCCAGAAAATGTGCTGCAGCACCTGTAGATCCTGGATCATTAACAGCGGTCTGCTGCAGCCGCACACTGCGTGTGGGTGTATGGCAAGATGCATTCCATCTGCTAGTGGTTCGTCTGCTGCCGGCTTGAAGTCATGCGGCGAACCGACGTGCCAGTTCTAATTTGCGCTGGTGTCACTGGTTCATCAGTGTCCGTGCGGGCGACCCATGCACGCGTTTTGTGGTCGGGGCATCGGAGAGGAAGGCCACGGACAGCAGAGAGAGTGCCAAGGTACTGGACGCTAGGTCTAAGCCGCGAGTGTTGACGGACAACTTGTTCGTCGAGAGCGCCTCTGGCCTCACAGAAGAAGTGCGCAGCGCAATGCGTACTTGATTATTTAGTGTAGAGGACGATGAAGAGGTCTTGAGGGATGAGGTAGAACTCGAGATGGAAGAGGTAACGGAGAACATGTCAAACGTACACGTCGAGGAGGACGTGTCCAGTGAATAGGAAGGCGATCACGGTAGGCCAGTCGTGTATAAATCTACGATTTCAGAGGGCGAGGTTCGCTCTCGTCTCGAAGATATCTGATCTTACTTGTACACATATGGAAGAGACGGCGAGCACAGCGAAACGGCGTACCTTCTTTCGAAGACTGTGCATTCGTTTACTCATGAAACTCAGGTCAAGCGAAGAGCAAAGGAGGGGGGAGAGGTGCAGGCGACTCTTCGGGATATGTGGCGGGTGTAGTTTTTGGTTTCGAGAGCAAAGCACTTTTATTGCCAACGTTCGTTGTTTGCCTTGGGTGAAGTCTCGTGAGATTGAATTTGGCGTTTGTGTTGTGTTGTGCCTCGTTTTGACCTTTTGGGAGGCGCGGTGTCCTCTTTGTCGCTGTGCTTTCCCGACATTTTTTGTCTCTGTGTTTCTGCGTAACCTACATTTTCCTAGTGTCGTTTTACAACCTTCGATATTTCTCAGGTGCGGTAGCGAGATCTTGGGCAAGATATTCAAGGGGAGGACAACGCCTAAAAAATAAAACAAAGCAAATAATTAAGCCCATATCAACACCAGCGCACTACCGTCGTGTACATGTACGATGCGTAGATCGTAGAACACCATCGCTTTCAGCGTTTTGGTGGTACAGCAGTACGGGGAAATTCAAACGATGGTATGCAAGTATGTATTGCAGCACAATAGCAGCAGTGGTTGCGACCTTCAAATCACCTTGTGTCGTAGGTGCCAAACAACACCTCTTGTGGTCGCCTTTCTGCTGCGAATGCGCACCTTTTGACATATGTTTCGCCTTCATTGGCCCCGGGGATGGTGCGTTAGTGGCCCCGGAATTTTAGACACTTCCTCGCGTTAAAGACACTTTTTTGTGGGAAAACAAACGTGGTGTGTCTTGAAAGCGGGGTCGACTGTACCTACAAAGCGGGGCATTAATTACATTAAAAAAAAAAAATCGTGCCCGTCATACATTGGTCTTATCGTGAGTGATCGCTCCCGATCTATAATATGGTAGTCTAAAAATAGGTTTCGTTTCAGGATTAAGATGCCCACCTCGTCGTTCGCCCCACTGCTGTACACCCTAAGGTTGGGAGCTTACCGTTCGCTCAATGCGAGCATGAGAGCTAGAGGGTGGGAGGCTCGACGCCTATGCCCATGCGCCGCATGCGATTTATTATTCAAGCCAAAGCCACTTCACGCACCCACGGGCACCGACGGCCAAGATGAAACTCCGAAACTCCTGTCCGTATCCGTTGTTTTCATTGCTTGCATGATCTCATCCTCACGCGGCCCGATGCCCGTGGTTGCCACCAATTCGTCGCAGCTGCTTACACACACAACGTACCTCGTGTGCTATGGCGCCATGCGACCCGTCTACATACGGCAGCTGCAGCGCTCTAGTCGCCGGCAATGCTTCACGCGAATAAGTTCCTTTATTTTGTTTCACACGGGGCGAGCTCGACAGCGTGCGCGGACCATTAGCCACGTGTGCAAGTTGACGTCGGTGGCGTGCAAAATTGACACGCCGTTCGGGAACACACACGGGAACGTTTAGACTATTCGTCATGCGACCATGCAACACGAATCTCACATTCGATGATGCAGGTCTTGAACGTCTCCCGGGAAAAGCACCACGTTCCCCCTTGCTTCCTCCTGTCCTAGGTAGAGCACTTCGTTGGAGCCACCTTCGATTCCTCGGCATAATACCACAGCGGCAGTGGTTGCGGCTCTGCTGCTGCTGCTGCTACTGCAGCTATCCATGTGATGCTGTTGTTGTCCTGGCCACGCTACTGATACTCCGTCTCCATCCACGCTCTCGTCGATCCAAGCCTGGCTGGCGGATCTCATCGCATGACCATTACATGACGTCCCCTGCGTGGTGGGCATGAAGAAGCCACTGCTGCTGAACACTGCTTTGTGTGTGCTGGTGCTGGATTGCTGTGTTTCGTTTGTTTTTTTTCCGTCGAGTGTTTGCCATACACGACAAAATATGTAAGTAGGGGGTTAGCCGGATGTAAGATATGCACAGGGGGGGGGGG